CACAGAACCACCACAGAACCATCACAGAACCTCCACAGAACCATCACAGAACCAGGACAACTTCTAGAAAATGGGACAGAACGATGTCAGAATGTAAACAAGCTCAACAACCCAAACCAACACAAACTGGCGCCAGACAATCAGACATGACCCACTTCGGATCAGATCGGACCCGTCCAGACACTGAATGAACAAAGTGAGCAGAAACCAGTCAGACGGCTCAGAGAGACGACCGGGACCAGAATAGCAGCGTCCTGTGAGAACGTCGCCGTGGAAACAAGGACTCTATTGACGCCTCGGAGTCCGACTGAAGGAAGCCGAAGAGACGACGTTAACGAAGTTACGCCTTAATGGGATCCGTCTGACCGTCTGGACCAATCAGAGGGCAAAGGTCGGCCCGGCAGGAAGCTGCAGGCACCTGCTGGACAGGTGATGTCATCACTGGACAGGTGATGTCATCACTGGACAGGTGATGTCATCACTGGACAGATGATGACATCATCACCAGACACCTCAACTCCGTCTACCAATCAGGTTTGAGTTTATTTGTTGTTTAAGTTTTTATTTAGAGTTTTGTTTTTTGTAAAGTGTAAAAATTAAAGAATTTTCTTTTTATTTACATGTTGACTGTAAACAAAACAAACAGCCAAACTGTAAACAATCAGTCATTAATAAACAACATCTGATTGTTTTGCTTCATTAAAATCAGATAAACAAACATTATTTTGTGTTTATTTGCTGTTTTTTATTTTTACATTTTCAGGCTGTTTGCTGTTAAACTTTGTTTGTTTGTTTGTTTGTTTACGGTGCAGCTGCAGTTAAACCAGTTTTTATTTATTGTTTATTATCTTGTTTACATTCCGGCTGCTGTGAATGAAAACAAACAAACAGTTTTCCTGATGAATCCTCGTGTTTCGTGTTTCGTGGACTTTTTAGATTCTAGTCGGACTCTGGCTGAACTGAAGCGTCTTTGATCGATCGATCAGCTCTGATCGATCAGAATCCGATCGCTGCTCCACAGAAATGAAACTTGGACTCAGACGGAGTTCTGCTGGATCCGACCAGAACCTGAAACACAAACATGAAGAATAAAAATCATTAGTTTTGTATTTTTACAAATATTACAATTAATGTGAAAGGACGGTTGTATGTATTTATAGATGTTTGTTTGTTTGTTTGTTTGTTTGTTTGTTTGTCAGGTCGAACGACGTTTGTTTCACGTTGCAGTTTGTGCTGAAAACAGATCCAGTTATTGATCAGATTATCAATCAGGTTATCGATCAATAAATGGACTAATGTCAGATTAAACTCTGAGTCACAACATTCCTCGATTACAGGAAGCAGCGCGACCTCTGACCTCTGCTGCTCGTCCAATCACAGCCTCTGACCTCTGCTGCTCGTCCAATCAGGGCGCCCGACCTCATTACAGGAAGTGACATTAAACTGCAGTATTTTTCAATTAGCGCCGACAAATTCAATCAAAGCTCCATAGATCGGTTCGGCTCATTTACGGGCTTTAATCGCGCGGCCATTAGACAAATAGAGCCGCTCGGCATCAATCATGGCCGTGTGGGCGCCGTGCACGCCCGCCGTGCACGCCCGCAGCTAATAAATACGCTCCTTTGTGCTTATAAATTATCCAGTTTAATTAACAACATGGATTATGATTGGACTGTGATTTAATTAAAGTTCTGCTGCGGCGGCGGCGGCGAGGACATTTATTACAGAGCAGAAGAAGAAGAGGAGGAAGAGGAGGAGGAGGAGGAGGAGGAGGAGCTCACCTGGACCAGCTCACCTGCTGCAGGAGGACGAAGTGGGTCCAAGGTTCTGCTCAGAGAGATGAAAACATTCAGCTGCTCAAATCACCAGAGTTCAGATGAAGAGATGAAATGATTCAGACTTCGAGGTTGTCTGATGGTTGATTTAATGGTTTCTCGTCTAACCTTTAGTAAATTAATTAAATTGATTTTTCTGCATCTTAAAATCATAAAATCTGTTTTTTGTGGCTGATGATGAAGTTTTTCTTCATTAAACTCAGTTTGTTGAAATAGTTCTGATCGATTGTTGATTTGTTCTGTCAGTGCTTTTAATTAATTAATTAATTAATTTAATTTAATTTGATTTAATTTAATTTGTTTTTACAGATTGTTGATTTGATTCATTTGAATTTTTTGGAAGTTAAAAAAAAAAAAACCATGAGGTGGATTTTAAATGATCAAAGAATTCCTCAGAACCAGAACTTAATGTTACTGTTGAGTTTTTAATGGACTTTGAAGCAGAACCAGAACCAGACGGGTTCGGCTTTCATCCTTCACTGGCCTGAATTTGATTTTTTTATTTTAAAATCACTTTTCTGACTCTTTCTTCAGGTCGTTTTATTTTGAAAGTCTCGCCATAAACAACCGGTTTTCTCTGGAACCCGGTCAGAACCAGAACCGTCCAGTGACTCCATCCTGCAGGACTCTGGTACCGGGTTCATCCTCCGGGGACCTTCACCCCGCTCACCACCATCCAGCTTGACCACGTCACCGCTTGCGGCCAATCAGAGGCCGGAGCGCGGCGGGGGGGGCGGGGCCTCGGCGCAGAAGGGAGCGCAATTTAAATCGTGCGCCGCTCCGGAGCGACGCGCAGACCCCGAGAGTCGGCGGCAGCTCAGTCCGCCGCGGCGACCTCCAGTCCGGCCAGAGCCGCAGCGGGACGCGCTCCTCCTCCCTGGATGTCACTGCTGGACCCCGAGCGGGACGTTTTCCTCCGCTGCGCCGCGCCCATGGAGCGGCTCCCCGCCGGCGGATTATCGGTGTTTTAGGCGCAGACTCCGGTCCTATGAGCGCAGCCTTCGGCCCGTCCTTCATGGTGATGCAGCGGCCACTCGGAAGCACCACCGCCTTCAGCATCGACTCTCTGATCGGGGGGCCTCCGCAGCCCAGCCCGGGACACTTCGTCTACACCGGCTACCCGATGTTCATGCCCTACCGGTCGGTGGTGCTGCAGCCGCCGCCGCCGCCCCCCGCCCTGCAGCAGCTGCCCGCCGGACACCACCCGCACCCGCAGCTGCCCGGCCTGCAGGGCGGCTTCTGCTCCAGCCTGGCGCAGGGCCTGACGCAGGGCATGGCGCTCACCTCCACCCTCATGGCGTCGCTGCCCGGCGGCTTCTCCCCGAGCCAGCAGCACCAGGACGCGGCCAGAAAGTTCGGCTCTCAGGCGCTGCACGTCTTCGACAAGAGTCCGGAGCTGCGGCTGGACGCGGAGGACGGAAAGAGCTTCCTGCAGGGGAAGGAGTCCGCGGCGCTGCCCGCCTTCCACGACCCGGACACGGCGGTGCAGAGCTCCACAGGTAGGCGGGCCGCCGCCGCTCGGTGTCCGGGGACGAGCCGCCGCAGAGCCGCGGCCGGAGCTCCGGGTCCGAGCGGAACCGTTTGTTCTACATCTGATGATTGAATTCGTTTGTTTTGTCCGATACTAAAGAACCAGAATCAAAAGAACATTTAGCGGATGAGACAGAATTTATTTGATCTAAAATAATGAAATATTTAAAATAAAAAAAAACATTTTCATGGTTTTTAGTTTGAATTTAAACCTTCTGGATGGTTTTACTGTTTATCCAATCAGAAATCAATCAAACCTGATTTATAACATTATTATTACTATTATTATTATTATTATTATTATTATTATTAATAATAATAATAATAATAATGATAATTATTATTATTCTTGTTAATATTATTATTATTGTTGTTATTATTATGAATCTTTTGGTTCACCGTTGGTTTAATTCAGGTTTAATTTCTGCAGGTTTTAAATAAATCATGAATTCCTCCTGGTGCTGGAACATTTAATCAAAGCACCGAATAAGATTCACCTGAAATCAGTTCATCTCAGACGTTTTATTTATTCTATTTATTTCTTTTTAAATCCGTTTTAATTCTTTTTCGGCTCGTTTCAGCCGCGAAGGTAAAAAAAGAAGAGAAGCATCTATTCCGGGCTTTTCTCGGTTCGTGATATCAAACAGACACGTTGGTCTCCTCCTGACTTCATTATTCGTGATCACATCTGACATTATTGAGTCTCCAGCGGTTCTGGAACGAGGCCGCGCCGCGACGCTCTGTGCGTAATTACGCGTGAAACCAAAACTCCCCGCAGAGAGCAGCGCGCGCTGATCCGCTCTGATCCAAACACTGATCGGATGATGGATATCGACACGGGACGGGACCCCCCCCAACCCCCACCCCCCGGCGGCCGCCACCCTCCGCAGCCCGCAGCTCCTGTTTCCCCCCAATTAGACCCAACATCAGAACCACCGGAGTGGTTCTGATGTTGGGTCTAATTTATATTTAAACGTTTTTTGTTTTGTTTTGTTTTTTTTTTATTATTATTTTTTGGTGTTTTTTAAAAAACAGGAATCAGGTTTTGTTCTTTATTTGGAGCCGCTCAGTGATCATTGTTTGGCTTTTGGGGCTTTTGGGTTTTTTGTTTTAAAGCTCGTCGGAACATTTTGAAACATTTGAATCAAAACTAAAAGAAAAAACTTTTTGTTGGGTTTTTTTTGTGTTTGTTTGTCTGTCGGTGCTCAACCTGTCCGTCTGTCCGCAGCCAAAGACTCCAAGGAGGACGACTGCGGCCGCAAAGACGAGAGCTTCTCTCTGGACAGCGACCTGGACTACAGCTCGGACGACAACCTCACGTCCATGTGCCACAAGGAGGACGCGGACGGCGGCGGCCTGGACGACGGCCCGCTGCTCCACGGCTCCTCCGGCGGCGGCGGCTCCGGAGCGGGCGGCGGCGGCGGAGGCGGCGGCGGGAAGAACCGGCGGCGGCGGACGGCGTTCACCAGCGAGCAGCTGCTGGAGCTGGAGAAGGAGTTCCACTGCAAGAAGTACCTGTCGCTCACCGAGCGCTCTCAGATCGCGCATGCGCTGAAGCTGAGCGAGGTGCAGGTGAAGATCTGGTTCCAGAACCGGCGCGCCAAGTGGAAACGGGTCAAGGCCGGGAACGTGAACAACAAGTCCGGGGAGCCGTCCAGGAACCCAAAGATCGTGGTTCCGATCCCGGTGCACGTGAGCCGCTTCGCAATAAGGAGTCAGCACCAGCAGATGGAGCAGAACCGGCCGTAGAGAACCGAGCCGGCGCCGGTCTCTGCCTCCTTGTCACAGTGAAATCCTGCAGCAGACGCAGCCAGCAGAACTGGTGACGGTCCGAACCCTGTCCGCAGACAGAACACCTGGGACAGAACAAATGTCCAAAAGCTTCTGGATAAAATTCAAACTGATTTTTTTTAAGGAACAATCTGAAGAAAATAAAAAACATTTTCCTCCTTCAACGTTTCCAGAAGGCCCCGTTCACACCTCCTCCTCTTCCTCCTCCTCCTCTTCCTCCTTTTTTATTTCTAAACTCTGTTCTTATAGTTTCCAGAAACTGAGGCCTTAACTTACAAAAACCCACTTTTTCTGAACGGAGTCTGGTTTAAGCGCTGAAACCTTCACCTGGACGCCGAACGGCTTCTGTCCAAGAACCCGATTTGTTTTTAAGAACTCATCTCAGATTTCACTTTTTTCTTGTTCTGTGCAGGAGGTTTGATAAAAACGCAGATCTGGGGCCTGAACGCGGGACTGAGCGGCTCGTTCTGCGGGACTTCTCTGTGCGGGACGAAGCGCTGCGTAAAAACCGAACATTTTGGAGAGACGCCAACACCTGTGCGTAAAGACGCGCAGCGGCGAGGAGGGGGAGGAGGGGGGAGGGAGAGACACCCCGGGATGATGTTTCGGCAACACGTTGACCGACCTCCCCCCCCCCCGTCCCGTCCTGCTGTAAATACCGGGACCAACGTGAGACTGATTCCAGCTGTTTGGACAAACGACGCTGCTAATTTATTTATAGAAACATGTGCAAAAGTGACAAAACATTCCCTGATTCTGGAGCTAAAATAAAAAAAGGAGAAGAAGAAGAAAATATACAAGTGTGAATTAAAAGCTGCCCAGATGTGAACAGCTGCTCGTCTCAGCTGATCCTCATTTAAACACGAATTAAATTAAAAACGCGCGTTTAGAGAAAAAGGCCTCAAAGCTTCAGATGAAACTCTTTATTCTCTGGTTTATTGTCTGAGCTGCTTCTGATCGAACTGTGGCTCCGGTTCGGAAAAAAAATGTGTTTAGTCATAAAAAAGCAAAATTCTAATAATTTAGATTTATTTGTTTTTTTGTTTAAATTGAAGAGAATCAAAGTTTTAATCAGATTTATTTTAAAATCACGGCTGGATTCTGGAAAAGGTTTTGATTTGATTTGATTTATTAAAAACAAAAACATTTTTCTGCAGCACATGTTTGTTTTTTTTTTAATTTTCAGACTAATGAGGCCCAAAGAACTGATTCAGTTAAATCATTAATTATCTGAATTTAAAAAAAAAAGAGGAAGCAGCTCAGAACCAGAACCGAGCCGCTGGTTGGAGCTTCGTTTGGTGAAATGTGTGTTTTCATCTCAGAAAAGCAAATAAAAGGTGATTTGGGAGATTTTCAGCTCAACTTGTTTCATTTTCTCTGTTTGAAGTTAAAATAAAATAAAAGGTTCAGATTTAAACTTTTTCCTGATTTCAAACCTTTCCTGCTTCATGTTGGTTCCACGGACCTGAAGCTGCTCCTGTCTGATGAAGCTTCAGCAGAACCGGGCCTCGGCAGCAGAACCGGGTTCACTTCAGAGTTCTGGAAACAAATTCAGCAAATTAAATGTAATTATAAAAATAATAATTAATTGTAGGAGAGCGTTTCAGCAGAGAAGCAGAGGAGATACCTGGAGCCGCTCGTCCCTGGATCCAGGCAGAACTGGAGGCTGAAACGAAACCAAAGTCCACGATCAGAACCATAAACCAGGGAACTCTGATGGTTCCGTTCACTGATCAGCTGCTGCTCAGACAGAAGAACCGCCTTCATGTCAAATCTGCTCAGTTTGGACAAAATGTTTTTAAAAAGCAGCGATCAGAGGATTTCGGGTCAGAAACATGTGGACTGGGCCGAAGCCGTCTGGAGCATGGTGCCGTTGGACCTGCGGTTCTGTTCATCAGCAGATCAGAGAAAATGTTTGTTTCGAACTTTTGGTTCCGTGGAAACGAGTTTCTGCTCAGATCGTCTCAAACCAGAAGAAAACCGTTTGACCCGCTGGACTCACGTCTGGTTCCGGAGCTGACTGAGGTTCGACCTGGACGAGTCCAATCAGCGGCACCTGCCTCCTCCGCGGACGGAGCCACACGAACCGGGACGAAGCGGGTTTTGTTCCGCTGAAGCCGCGGGACGAACCGACGTGTTCGGTCGTTTCTCCGGCTGCAGAACTTGTTCGGCTTCCGGCGCTGTTCGGCGCAGCTGTGCGTCATTACGCACTCAGAGCCGCAATTAATTTATCATGTAAACCAATTAGTTTAAAGAGAAGCTGCTGATGATCGGTTCCGTATGATGACGTAATGGATCAGTTCAATGTTTTTGTTTTGTTTGAATAAAAACAATAACATCTGGATGACGTCACGTTAATCCAGAAAACATTTGATTCAAATCTGAAAAATGAAATAATTTTCTGCTTCAGCTGCAGAAGTGTGAGTTTGGTCCAAACACCAGAACCGCTTCAGAGACGGAACCACGTTTTCAGTTGTGAATCAGTTCCTATAAAAGTCAGAACCACGTCCAGAACCAGCAGCGAACAGAACCAGATCTTTAAACAGCTTCAAGGCGCTCATTGCTCACTGAACGAACAGCGTCCAGGTGCATGATGGGAAATGTTCGGAATCAAAGAAAAACAAAAAACAACTTTGAGTTATTTTCCTTTTTAAATCTTTTTTTTTTTTTTTTTGTGGTCTTCACGGAACCGGAGCTCGGACTCGTTTAGGCCCAAACCAGCGACACGTTCTGGTGAAACGAGACTCCAGGTCGGAGGCCCAACGAGGCCGAGTCGGCCGCTAATTAATCTCTGAGCGACTCTAATCAAGCAGCCGTCCGGCGGCTGATGAACGACGCTGCGGAGGCTCTCAGCTGATTAATCCTGGTCTTCTTCATTCACAGCTCGACTCGAAACCGTCAAACTGTGGAGCCGAAGCGACAAACGGATGAAAGCTCTGGAAGGAGGCCAGCAGCCGCTCTGGAGCCTCGGTCCAGTTTAATGTTCTGAGAGCAAATAAAGACGAATTACATCACGTTTAATGTGTCGAGGAAGATCATGTGGCACTGAGAGAAAGCCCCAGAAAATAACCCAGTAAGAAGACCTTGAGTGTTTGGTCAGATTTAAGATTTCAAAGGTGCTTCAGGAAAGATGCTCAGCAAAAAGAGACTAAATTAATTATGTCAGGTGTCTGATTAGCTAACGAAGATCATGCAGCAGTGGTTGAAAGCTCCAGAAAAAAACAGTAATTGGACCTTGAGCTGAGCTTGTGTCGTCTGGTTTAATACTCCAAAAGCAGCTCGACGTTTGAGCAAAAACAGAAAAAAAAACCCTTATTACATCACGTTTAATGTGCTGAAGAAGATCATGTGACACCGAGTGAAAGCCCCAGAAAAAACCCAGTAAGTGGACCTTGAGTGGTGATGTCTTTCTTTGTTTGGTGAACTCAATATATCAAAGGTTCTTAGAAAAGATGCTCCCCATAAAACCGACCACGTACTTACGTTAGGTGTCTAATCTGTCGAGGAAGATCTCATGACAATGAGTGAAAGCTTCAGGAAAAACACAGTAAGTGGACCTTGAGTGTTTTGTCATTTTTAAAATTTCAAAGGTACTTCAGGAAAGAAGCTCCTCGTACGTCTAAAACAGACCACGTACTTGCGTCAGGTGTCTAATTAGCCGAAGAAGATCATGTGACACTGAGTGAAAGCCCCAGAAAAAAACCCAGTAAGAAGACATTGAGTGGTGATTTTTCTAATTCGGTGGACGTCACATTTCTGTTGTGCAGAAACAGACGAGTACTAACGTGAGTCCAGTCTGCGGAGGAAGACCAAGGAAAACCCCAGAAAAAGCCAGTAAGTGGACCTTGAGTGGTGAAGTTTGTTGGATCGTACTCACGGCGGGCGTCTGAGGAAGATCATGCAGCGGCGGCCGAGAGCTGCTCAACACGCTCAAAGACACGGAGGGTCTGTTAAGAAGCATTATTCTGGTCTTTATTGAAAAGAGACACATTACAGTAGAAGACTCTGTATTAGGTAGAATTTCTCCACAACGTACTGTACAGCAAAGAAAAGTCAACAACAACAACAACAACATCAACAACAATAATAATAATAATAATTATTAGAATAACAGCGACAATAAGAACGGTAACGTGTCTGGATGATAAATCAGAACGATGATAACAAAACGTGGATGGGCTGAAGAGCTCGGCTAAAAATATACAAAAACGTAGGTTAAGGGGGTGGAGTCTTCCTTGTGGGTGCGTTTATAAATAATGTCGTGGGCGGCCCGGGTGGGCGGGGTTTAGGGGTAAAGGCTACATGAGGTAACGACCAAACGTTGACCAAACGGTTCTGATGTCTATGTACAGTGTCGGCGGCGGCAACACGAAGCAACATTAACGCCGGCAGACATGATTCATCTACAAGCAGGAGGCTTCAGTCGAGATATCTGAGCTAATAAACTACGCTAATGCTAGTTTGGCTAACTGCACGCTAGCTGCTGCTTCACAGGACATTTCATTCTCTAAATATTTAGTATGTTTTTATGACTGGTCTTGTGTTAGGAAAAACGCTGAGGGCAGAGAAGTTCACTTGCAGGTTGAAACCACACATGCTAACATGCTAGCCGCAGTTAGCTGACACATGACTCAGCGGTTTCTGTGAAAACAAACGGGTTAAAGGTAGATTTTAACGAGTTTCCCCTACAATTTAGAGATTAAAAACATCAGATTTTGAAATAGTGAAAAGCTAATGTGAAAACAAATTTAGTCAATGCCCTATTTCAATCTGTTTGCTAAGTTCCGCTAACGAAACTGATCCCGTTTTGAGTTGGTCTCAACTCAAACTCAACAATGCTGTCCTAAACGCAAAGTTTGGATTATAAATCTCAGATTTGAGTGAAAAGCTAAAGTGAAAACAAGTTTAGCCAATTCCCCGCGTCTCTCTAAGCTTAGCTAAACAATCGATTCTATTAG